CTTTATGAGGTGCAGTGGTAGCTACTGAAAGTTCCTCCTGATCACCCTGCTTTTTTAACTTCCCCAATTCCTCCTCAACTTGTCTATCAATACTTTCATTTGTATATTTACAATCCCTACTTCAGGGAACCATGGACACCATAAATCTAATTGAGGTATAAACCTTGTTCCTTTCTTCTGAAGCAAATCTTTTTGGCTGTGGACAAATCCTGCTCCTCTTGCTTGAAGTATCTCTTAGATTGTGGACAAATGCCTAGTTTTAATTCCACTGTCCCAAATTTGCTGTGACCCGTAGGTAAAGTCAGCATCTAATCAACACCTCTTCATCTTAGCTGTATCCCCTTAATGCACCTCCTATAACACAGCCTCCAAAAAATACACTTTATAACTTCCTCTAGCATTAATGTTGTTTGTTGCTTACAAGGAAGGATATTCTTACTTCTTCCATTTTCTGTGGAGCTCAACCTAAGACAGCATTTCTCAGTGGGTCCCCCCTTCACATTATCAGGTCCCTATTTTGAGTACCACTTGTAGCTGCCCAATGGACATTGACGAACTGGGTTCACCTGATAGGGAGGCTGGAAATATAAAGGATGGAGGTGGCGGCAAGAAAAGAATGAAGTCAAGATAAGTCTTTGATGAAGGCACAAATTTAAAATTCAGCACTCTGTTTATATTGGGGAAGCCCACCAAACCCATTCTTTGTTTCAGCTGGATAATATTGTAAAGCAGGCTCAGCTGGCAATATATTCTTCTAGGTTCTTGTAGGAAGTTGCAAGTGTTCACAAAGCTGCTCACTTCACTCAGGTGTTAAGGTCCTGAAGGAAGCTGTAAATATAAACAAAGCAGATGACTTCACCTAGGTGTCAAGGTCTTGTGTGGCAAGCAAGGTCTATTCAGTCTGCTCAAGGCTGGGAAAGGCACACTGGCATCAAGGTTTATGGACCTCAATGTAACATATCTCAGAACACATCAAAACATGACCTCAGGCACCAGATTGACCATAAACTCCAGAATATAACCTGGTGGCCATAGGGCTCCTTGACTGTGGCACCATGAAAGGTTAGCTTGCTTTCTAGTGGAGCAATGGCTAGAGATGGCCAGAGACCCTGCAAGGGATGGCATACATTTCATCACACTTCTAGACTCCAGCCTCCTGACACAAGGCCAAAGACTTCCATTGATCCACGCCTTTCAGTCATGTAATACAATGTCCCTACAGCCTCTCCTAAAGAGAGGTTTATGTCACCTAGGACAGGTAGAGGGCATGAATACAGGCCTCAAGCCTTGAGAGACCTCCATATTAATGAAATACCTAAAGACAAGAGGGCATAGCCAATTAAGCATTCCTTCCCAGACACTCCTCCCTCCCTATTTAACTCAGGTCTGCCCTGAGGTGTGCATGGGGTTACAGCTAATCTACTTTCTGCCATGACAATAAACCTTTTAAAACATGGACTACCTCATGTCTTTGGGATGTCCCCCTCATTGGGGAACCATGGAGAAGGGCTTTTGACTACTGAGCTGCTGTTTAATCTCCCACCAGAAGACTTGTCTGTGTTGTCGCCACTGAGAAGGCCACCAACTCAAGCAAGCTAGCCCACCCAGCCAAGCAAGTCCTGGCAACCAAGAATCACCCACCTCACGGTGAGCCACCAGAGTTCTCCCTCTCACCGCTCTTGGCTGTGGGTTGGTCAAGCCTGTATGCCCTCAAGTCTCAGTTCTTCTGCCATTCTCAGCAGTGCCTAGGAGCCCAGAGACAGAGACAACAGGCCTCCTGGTCAGCTGCTTCAGCCCAGACACCTCCATTGAGGAGCTCTGCCCCTATGGACTTCAGGCTGAGATATTCCCGGGCAAAGCCCGGCTGCTTCTCAGCCCAGCACCAACCTGGCACTGCATAGAGGGTATTCAGTCAAATTCTTGTGCTTCTGTATCTCTGAGCCATGGCAGACATGTGGGAACCATAACTCAGCCAAACAGGACTTATGCCCATGCATGAGCTACAGCTCCGCACTTGATATTAATTCCTTCAGAAGCAACAATGACTATGTGTATCAACCTCGTTTTTGTTGGCAGTATGAATAATGGAAAGTAACATAATTTCTTAAGGCAATTTGGATTGTGTGATATTAGTATAGCTTCCAGTGACAGGAAGGAACACTGACAAGAAGGTTGCCTATGGCAGCTTGAATCTTGAGTTATACCATCATATATATTGTCAAGAATGTCAGTGACATCAGCATATACTGAGAGTGAAAGAGGTTATGGTCATAAATCTCTTCTTGAGTCATAGGATCGATCACTAACATAAATACCACTTTTGGTGGTAGTATACATGATGTTGTATACATCATTATACGTGATGTTGTCTATAGCAATGGATGTAAGCATGCATCAGGGATCTTGCCATAGTTTCTGTGGCAGGTGGAATAACAATAGCAATGAAGGACTTCATCTTATTGCTGGTGACAACAAATAGCACTGGCATAAACTTGCTTTCACTGGTAGGTGGAATGACTAATACAATCATCCTAGTCTTTTGTGGGACTAGAAATCATTAACATCATGCAGCCTGTGGCAGCATGGATTGGGAATATATCATAATGTTTCTTACCATGAAGTTATCATTGTCATCATAGTTTCACTGAAAAGTCAAAATTGGACAGAAACCTCTTCTCTAGTTGCAGGATGGATCCTCAACATCAAAATAGTTACAGTTGGCAGGTATCTGTAAGGTTAGATCATTTGTACCAGTAGCCATTATGGTGGCAGTTAGGATCTTATATAATGCATGGCCTACAGAGGGGCTACATTCATACATTGTGGACATCATACTTTCCTGTGCAGGTAGGACCTCTGTAGGTATAATGGTCACCATGATGGTTGCTGGTGGGCCCAAGGCAACAGTGATCTTGGATACACTATGGTGTTTACTTCCAGGATGTATCAGTGACACGGATGCAGTTTTAGAGGACAGGTCCATGGGCAAACTCTTCTTCTCTAATGGTAGGATGGAACACTGAAATCAAAAAGGGTACAGTAGGCAGCACATATTTCACATATTATGTGGTCTCCACAGAAAAATAGATCACTGACATCAATATAGATTCTATTGGCAGTTGGAATGAGTCAGATTAACATAGTCCCATGTATCACCAGTGATCACTGACACGATACCTGCTAGGGTCATCAAGGTAATTGAATATACAATGATGTCTGTTGCTAAAATGTATCAGTGACCTCATCATATCACAGAAAGGTTAACTAAACATAAACTTAGTTACCAGTATTGACTATGAGCTTCACACTTGACTCTGTTAGCCACAGAGTTCCTTGACACTAACAATCTCTTCAGAAGCAACAAAGGTTATATTTCAATATAGCTCTTGGTGCCATCACTTACGATGGACATCAATATAGGTTCTGGTGACAGTTTGAATTATAGATATTAGTGTGATACTCATTTGTAACAGAGATCATTGAAATTAAGTTTGCTGTGGCAGCATTGACAATAGGTCAATAGATACTCATTTCTAACACAGATCATTGAAATTAAGGTTGCTGTGGCAGCATTGTGGCAATACTGCAGTATCTGTTTTTAGGTTTATCATAGACATTCACAGTACAGCAGAGAATATTAACATAAACATCTCCATTGGCAGCAAGGCTCATTGACACTAATAGTTATTCTGGTTGCAGTAAGGATTGCGTACATAATACAGTTCGCCTCAGGGGATACGTGTATGTATAATGAACATCTCATAGACATTTGAACACACTTCTCATAAACAACAAGGTCTGATTGGGCAGCAGAATGAATATCTGATATCAGGATAGATTCCATTGGCAATTGGAGACTCTCATTTTTATGTTGCTCCAATAAGCATCAGGGATCACTGAAATCACAGCAGTTGAAGGCCTGAAGTACCATGGACATACAATGATGCCTTTTGGCATTATATATGTGATCTCTATAAGAAATATAAGATGTAACTCCACATGACTTGGATGACCAGTATGACTTAAAACTTCACCTTATGTTCTGCTGGCCCTGTGGCACATAGGATCTCAGACATTAATCTGACCTATTGTGTCAGCTCATGACACTCATCTCAACGTGGTCTCCATCATCAACACAAACCTTGGAATTCAGCAGGTTCTCAAGAAGTAACAGAGATCAGACAGCACCAGGGTCTCCATCAGCAATAGGAGCAATAGAGTCCATCATGATGGCTGGACACAGCATGCAGAACTGACATCAACATATTTTCAGGTTGCAGTTAGGATCACAGTTATCAACTCATCTCCAGCAGCAGCAAACAACACTTAGCACATTATGTACCTAGGCAGCAGTACTTACCATGTACTTCACAATATATTCTGTTGGTTGTTTCTCAAAGATATCATGCAGCTTTTCAATGACCACACAGACTATGATTGTCAACATGGTTACCAGTGACAGCATGGAACAGTAATGTCAATATATTTCCTTTGATAGTTAGGGTCATAGATTTCATAAATCTGGTCCAAAGTGGGAGTAGGGATAACTCATGATCTGTTTGTCTATGGCCAGGGATCTGTGGTTTAACATTGTGTCCATTGTCAGGAAGTACGAGGGACATCAAAATCCCTTCAGAGGGAAGGTATTACCACATAGAAAACACTGTTTTCTAGTTGCAGGATGTATCTTTACATTAAATTGCGTAAGAATGGTAAGATATTTCTTAGGTCTTTTACAGAAGCATAGGTAATAGTCATCAATAGTGAGTCCATTATCAGTTAATGAAAGCCATATTAATGTGGTCACAAGAGTGATCAGGGATCACTGACATATTGGCTCCTAGAGGACACAAATATCATAGACACATAGTGGTATCTGAGATATATATATATATATATATATATATATATATATATATATATATATATATATATATGTAGTCCCTAACATTACCTAAGACAGCGCTATAGACTGACCCTTTCATTGAAGATTCTGATGGTCTCAGAAATTCTTAACATTCACAATGTCTTCATGATCAAACTGACGATGAATTATAACATAGTTACTAGAGGTTACATGTAGGATTCACATCATCCATGTTTCTTTAGTCCCTTTGCATTAGTGACATTAACATGGTTAACAGTGGCAGATGGGATCACTGAAAATGATGTTGTCTTCAGAAAAAAAAAAAATGATCTTGGGCATTACCATGAGGTCTGTTGCCAGAGCAGGGTCCCAGGGTGTCAGATATCAGGGACCTCAGCATTGACTCAGAGAGTAGAAGAGATCATTGACATCACTAACTATTCTGATGGTAGTAAAAATATTGTACATTTTATGGATGACAGCAGGTCTTGCATCTATGCATCAGGGATATCAACAGAAGTTTTTGTGGCAGATAGGATCACAGACATTAATCTGATCCCTAGTGCCACATTAGAACACTTACCTCAATATGACCTCAAGTATCAGTATGGATGTTGGAATTCAGCATGATCTCTAGAAGCAGCATAGATCATTGACATCACCAGGGTCTCCATCAGCAATAGGAACAATAGACTCCATCATGATCCCTGATTACAGCACTGACCGCAACATACCTTCAGGCTTCTGGTATGATCACTGACACTGACATATCTTCAGTAGCAGCACAGAGCCCTTATTTCATTATGATCTTAGGCATCAATACTGACAGGGAACTTCACAACAGATATTTCTGGTTGAGTTATCACAGACATCATGACCTCTTCAAAGACACTGACTGTGAATCTCAACATAGTTACCAGAGACAGCATCGATGAGTGACATCATAATTGCCCTTGTCAATTCGGATCACTAATATCATCAATTTGTTCCAAAGTGGTAGTAGAGATCACTCACTGCCTGGTTGGCTATGGGAGTAGAAATCTGATCATGGTATCTGTTCCCAGGGATATGAAGAAAGTTTGAGAGGGCAGGTATGATCATGTAAAGAAATTTCACTAGTGACAGTTTCAATCATGATATAAAAATGATAAGGGCTACCAGGATACTTAACATAAGTTGGGTAGAAGCATGGATAACTGACATCAGCAATGATTCCATTGGCATTTGGAGACAGTGATATCAATATGTCCCAATGGTCAGCAAGGATCACTGCCATGGCTGCTGGAGGCCTGAAGTATATATGACAAACAATGGTGTCTGTTGCCTCACTATATATCAACATAATATACCTCAGAAAAGGTAGGTAAATATGACCTGAGGTAGAAGTATTAGTATAATACTTCACCTAAGAATTTGCTATCTTCTGAGATCCTTGACATTAACAATAACTCAAGAAGCATCATGAACTATAGCATTAGACATGGCTACTGGAGGCAGCATGGATCATTGACATCATCATATCTTATGCAGGCATTTGGTAATAATGACATTAACTTGGTAACCAGGGGCAGCCAGGATCACTGACAACCAGGTTGCCAATGGCTGCATGGAACTTGGGCAATACCATAGTGTGTGTTGCCAGTTAAATATTAGTGTCATCATTATCAATTCACAGGGAAGAATAAATTATGCTCATTAATTGTCTTCTCTATTGGAAGGATAGGTCACTGACATCACTGCCTCTTCAGGTGGATATATGGATCATGTACATTACATGATCAACATCAGGGACTGCTTTCTTGTATCAGTGGCATCAACAGAGTTTCAAGTGTCAGGATCTCAGACATCAATCTGATCTCCATTGGTAAGAACGTTTACCTCAATAGGATCTAATAGTTCATCATGAACCTTTAAATTCATTAGGTTTTCAAGAAACAACACAGATCATAGGCATCACCAGGGTCTTAGCAATAGAAAGAATGGACTCCATCCCATCATGATTGCTGGTTACAGCTTCAGCACTGACATCAAAATAGCTTAATGTTTCAAGCAGGATCACAGGCATCAATATATATTACATGTTCAATATTGGTGGCTAGATGCATGTGTGAGGACATCATTTGATTTTCTTGTTGCAGGTAGGTTTCCAAATATTATTATGATCTCCAGTACCAGCTAAGAATATTTACCTCAAAAGGGACTGGGACATCAGTGTGGATCTTGAGGTACATCATATTCTCAAGAAGCATCACAAATCATAGTCATCACCAGGGTTTCCATTAGTGATAGGAATAATGGATTCCATCATGATTGCTGGTCATTCATCAGTGGTATCAACATAGATTTTTTTACTACAGGTAGAACCATAAGCATCAAAATACAATGCAGGTTTCTCATTAGGAGCTACATCTATACATCAGGGACATAACCATAACTCCCTATGGGAGGTAGGATCTCAGAAATCGTTTTTATCTCCAGTACTATGTAAGATTACTTACCTCAATATTACCTTGAGTATCAGCATGTACCTTGACATTTATCAGTTTCTCCAGAAGCAACATAGTTCATATCCATCACAAGGATCTCCATCAGTAATAGGAACAGTGGATTGAATCATGCTTGCTGATCATACCATCCAGCAATGATATCAGCATGACTTGAGCATAGAGATGTGATCATTGAAATCAAAGATGACTCCATTAACAATACACAGCTCTTTAATCATTATAAACCTAGACAGAAGTACTGTCAATGATATTCACATTACACTCTTCTGGCTGGGGGATCTCAGGTGCTATGGAGTTCTTCAAATGTGACATATGCTGCTATCCATTGTTCCTACAAACATTGTCAGTAGATCTCAACATACCTACTAGTGACACCAGAGATGAGGGTCATCAATATATTTCCTTGGTAGTTCGGATCACTGATGTTATTAATTGGTCAAAAGTGGGAGAAAGATTCAAACACAAACTGCTTACCAATGCAATAGGAATCTGGGATATAAAATGGAGTCTGTTACCAGGAAGAATCAGGTACATCAAAGTAATTTCAGAGGACAAGTATGGCCATGAACAGAAACCTCTTCTCTAGTGACAGGATGCATTGTGAAATCAAAATTTTTATCGATGGCAAGAATCTTCCCATAAATTGAGCAGAAGCACGGTTAAAAGATGTTGGTAATAATTCCAGTGTCAGTAGGAATAACTCTTATCAATGCTCTCACAAATTGCATCAGGTATGACTGGCATGGCTGATAGAGGCCTGAAGTATCACGGATTGGTGTCTTCTGCCACAAGTTATGTTCTCTCAACATAACATATGTCAGAAAATGTAATTTCAACATGAGCAGAGGCAGTGCTATTACCTTCCACTTTTTCTTAGACTCTCATGGTCTGAGGCCCTCTAAACACTAACAATATCTTCAGAAGCAACATACACTATGGGTTTTAACAAAGTTACTGGTGCATGATGGTGATTCACATCATCGATATTTTGCAAGAACTTTGGCCTAGTGCTATTAACACGATTGCCACTGGCATCAGGGATGACTGACAACAGTGTTGTCAAAGGCTGTATGAATGATGGGCTATACCATGGTGTCAGTTGCCAGGTAGATATCAGTGACATCTGTGCATCAATTCAGAGAACAGAAAAAATTCTGGTCTTCAACCCCTTCACCAGTCTCAAGATTAATAGAAGAAATCACTATCACTTCTGGGGCCAGTGGTAATTTTATATACTACATGGCCAACAGCAGGGTATACATATATGTATCAGAAACTTCAGCTGAATTTTATTTGACAGATATTATCTCAAAAGAAATCTGATCTCCAGTGCCTGCTAAGAACACTTACTTCATTATGCCTCCAGCATTTGTAAGGATCTTGGAATTTTTCAGATTCTCAAGCAGCAACACATACCATAGGCATCTCCAGGATCTCCACCATCAGTAGGAATTATGAATTTCTGCACTGTTGTTGGTCACAGAATGCACCACTGATATCAACATAGCTTCCTGTTACAAGTAGGATCATAGGCATCAAAATACGTTGCATGTTCAACATCAGGGCTACCTGCATGTATCAGGTATATCAGCAGAATACCCTCTGACATGTTGGATCTTAGCCATCAATCTGATCTCCAGTGCTAGCTCAGAATACTTACCCCTATATGACCTTGGTTGTCAGTAATAACCTTAGAATTCAGGTGGTTCTTCAAAAGCAAAACTGATCATAGTCATCAGTTTGTCATTAGGGATAACGGAATCCATCACAATTGCTGGTCACAGCTGCAGCACTGACTTCAGGATAGCTTCATGTTTCAGGTAGGGTCACAGGCATATACTGCACCTTCAGTAGCAGCCCACAGCACTTACATCATTATAGCCTTAGGCGTCACTCCTGATCATGAACTTCACAAAAGACTCTTCCAGCTCAGGGATTTCACATATCAGGAAACTCTTCCAGGACAACACTGACTTTGGTTCTCAACATGGTCACTAGTATTCTTAAAGATGAATAGCATCAATATATATCCCTTGGCATTTGGGATCACATATATCAT